AAACCTCAGCAGTACAGGAGAGAAGGCAATACATTTCACAGTACACACATACACTATAAACAATTACATTACACACACCCTGCACCTATAATGGGTACAGGGTGACTAAAACATAAGATAAATAAAGCAGCCTACATAAATAGTCTGTCTGAAGGTAGAACAGGGGCTTTAAAGGCAAATACATCAAAGAGTCATAGTCACAGGGGAGGAGGCTGGCAAGCAGGCCTCTCCAGTACCAAGTGGCGAAGGGCACTTCGTCACATATCTCCCCTTCAGGGGGAAGACTAACCAGGCACCTGACTTTCTGTCGGTCAGTGCCTAAGTTAGTCGATTCACCCACCGACCATACGCAAGTGCCAGAGTAGCCCACCCACAACAAACAGTTATTAGAGCAGCCCACCCACAGCAAACAGTGACTGCACCTGGGTATTCCTCTGGGGTGATGGGGCAACACGCTGTGGGGACTTGAGGGGCAGAGGCCAGCGGCGCTCTGCCCTGATGCCAGCGCTTCTGCTGGGAGGAGGGGGGCGCAGGCCAGTCCTGTGACAAGGGGATCGGTAGGGCAGAGGCCAGGGGCGGTCTGCCCTGATGCCAGCTCTTCTGCTGGTATAGCCTGCAGGACATCAAGCTCTGGACAAGGGACAAAGGGAGGGCAGAGTTCGACTGCACTCTGCCCAGCTGCCAGCTCTTCCGCTGGGGGGCTTGGGACATAGTCCGGCTCAGTAGCCAGGGGAACGTGGGGGTCAGTGGGGGTTAACATCTCCCCTGTTAACCCTGGGGCCAAGTTAGGAGTTAGCTGGGGAGGGGAATTAGTACTTACCCCCTCCTCCTGTTGTCCCTGTGAGGGTAGTTGGGGATCTGGACAGGCTGTCCAGCATCCCTGTAGGTCAGGCACAGAGACCACGGTCCCCTCTGCGCCATCTGGGAGATTGGTGTCTGCCCTTGGTAGGGTAAGCTGCCGCTGGGGAGATAGGGTGCTGTGCTCCTCTCCCTGAAACACAGGCTGCCGCTGGAGAGGGAGACCGCCTGTCTCCACTCCCATAACATTGTCCTGCTGCTGGAGAGAGAGACCAACTGTCTCTGCTCCTTGTAGGACACACTGCCGCTGGGGAGGAAGGACGACACCTTTGGCTCCCTGTAACTTGCACTGCCGCTGGGGAGGAAGGACGACACCTTCGGCTCCCTGTAACTTGCACTACCGCTGGGGAGGAAGGACGACACCTTCGGCTCCCTGTAACTTGCACTGCCGCTGGGGAGAGAGACCAACTGTCTCTCCTCCCTGTAGGACACACTGCTGCTGGGGGGGAAGGACGACACCTTCGGCCCCCTGGAATTCGCACTGCCGCTGGAGACTAGGTGTCCATATCCTCAACCTCCACAGTTGTCGCTCAAAGGCCATTGCCGCACTGTTCTCAGCACTCAACTGGCGCATTACTTGGTGGACCACGTCGTTCGAAAGGTCTGGGCCATAGCAGACCAACCGCCTCTTTACCTCCTCAATGTAAGCGTCGTCCTCGTAGCGATGTATCATGTTGAGGTGCTCTTCGCAGGGCTCTATCCATCCCTGCTCCATGCTGCTGTAGTTAGGGACGCTGCACAGTGGCTAGCGTTGCCCTCAATAACCTCTCATACTATACCAGTGTCTCCGAGCTGCTTCTCCTCGCACTAGGACGCCATCCCACCGCTACCACCAATGTAACGGAGCTCCCTGTACTCCGACTGAGTACCCTCCTTTGATGGATGCTCCTAGCGCTTCCTGAGGACTCCAAGCACTGCAGCAGACACCGCAACCACCGCAGACTCCGCAACCGCCGTATCTGGACTGGAGTCTCGCCGTCTTCCTTCCACCCTGGATCAGCTTCTGTCCTCCAGGACTGTGTGGGAAAGAACTCTTCCTTCCACCCTGTACGAACCTCCAGCATCCAGGACTGTGTGGCGAAGACCCCTCCTCCAAGGAGAGCGTGTCAGGAACAAGCTCTTAAAAGAGCTAAGTGACTCAAGCTCAGGGGAGCATGCAGAGCATAGCAATCCCCAGTGTGATTATAACAGCTCCCTCCAATAACGAGACAAGGCTACATTTAGAGGGATCAAGAAGAACTGTCAAAACCTTTATTCCCTTGGGACCAGCCAATACAGTCACCACAATAACATTGTTGTGAAACCTCAATAAAATCACAAACAGTCAAACCATATCAAGAAACACACAGTGACTTATCACAACACAATGGCACATTTTTTAAAGGGGTGGGGGGAGACAATATTTAACAGTAAATATCTCACCTGCCTGCAGAATTAGCAATATGCAAATCTACCCGAATATGCAAATGAACCAGTCTTGCAATTCAGGTAGTGCATATTGCTGTTGCTACCAACAGAGGGCACTAGACAAGCTCCATAGCCAAACCCACCTAGTTGGTAGCAAACCTCAGCAGTACAGGAGAGCAGGCAATACATTTCACAGTACACACACTATAAACAATTACATTACACACACCCTGCACCTATAATGGGTACAGGGTGACTAAAACATAAGATAAATAAAGCAGCCTACATAAATAGTCTGTCTGAAGGTAGAACAGGGGCTTTAAAGGCAAATACATCAAAGAGTCATAGTCACAGGGGAGGAGGCTGGCAAGCAGGCCTCTCCAGTACCAAGTGGCGAAGGGCACTTCGTCACAAAGGGTCTTTATCTTTTTTTGGTAAAAGAACAATTTTAGCCATTGTAAGGTCGGCTGGAAGAACTCCGCTTTGACAAATTTCATCTATGACCTCTTGTAAATATGGCATAAGAGTGTGTTGAAATATTTTATAATAACTACTACTAAAGCCATCTGGCCCTGGTGCTTTACTCCCCTTAATAGAAAAGCATGCCGCTTTAATTTCCTCTAAAGATATTTTGGTCCCTAATCCTTCTAAGGCATTTTTAGGGATTTGGGGTAAATTTATCTTATTCAAAAATTCTCTCAGTCTTATATCCTGATCTGTACCTTCTATATTCTCTTTTTTAAATTGACTATATAATCTAGAAAAATATTCCCGAAATACTCCATAAACATCCTCTGGTGATGATACTAATGACCCTGAAGCGTTTCTAATGGATGAGATAGGATTAAAATGTGTTCGTGGTTTTAAGCATCTGGCCAAAGGGGCGTCTATTTTATTAGCTTTCTCATAAAAATATCTACGTGATTTTTTTAACTGCCATATTGCTTCATCTAACAAAAGCTTTTTAATCTTTAATCTACATGCTTTTAAATCATATAGCATTTGTTCAGTGGGAACTGTTTTATGTTTTTGTTCCAGCTTACGTAAACCTTTCTGTAACTCAAATAATGATTGTGATTTAATCTTTTTCTTATATGAGGCTATTTTGATCAATTCTCCCCTAATTACAGTTCTATGTGCTGCCCATAAAGTGGTTTTGCTAATTTCAGTCGTATTATTTTCTGAAAAATAATTTAACAATGCCTTTGTAATATCTGATCTCACTATGGGATCTTCCAAGAGAGAAGTATTTAATCGCCAAGAAAAATTGGGTTTAACTGATAATCCTTTTATATGTACAATGATATCTGCATGATCTGACCACGTAATATTGTTAATTTGTGAGCTATATAAATAGGGAGAAAGTGTTAAATTGGTCAAAAACATATCTATTCTAGAATACGTATCATGTGGATGCGAATAAAAGGTATAATCAAGTGTGTCAGGATGTTGAGCCCTCCATATATCAATAAGTTTATGAGTTATCATAAACTGAAAAAACTGTTTATCTTGTCCTCCCCTTCCCTGGGATCGCAATGTTCCCGGCTTATGACTTCTATCTATTGCTGGAGAAGAAACCGCGTTACAGTCCCCACCTATCAAGACACAATCAGACGCTATGGAATCAATAATTTGGCCTATCGTATCCCAAAATCTATTATCTGGGATATTTGGGGCATATATATTCATTAAATGAAGCTTACGGGTGCCCATTATTCCAGACACTAAGATATATCTTCCTTCTTTATCCTGAATGGAATTTAAGACCTTAAACTGACATCTTTTATGGAACAAAATAGCTACTCCATTATGTTTTTGAATAGCATTCGAACAATACGCTCTATCATACCATTTATCTGTCAAGAATAATATATGAGATCTGTTAAGATGAGTTTCTTGCAAAAAAACTATGTCCGCCTGCTTTCTCTTTAATTCCTTAAACATTATCTTCCTTTTAGCAGGTGAATTAAGGCCTTTTACATTTAAGGAAATTATCTTCTCATCCATCATAATTCAACACCAATACAAGCAGATGTTTTGACCCAATAAAATAAACGAACCATATTAGCATATTGTATACCCAAACATGAAAATGAGGGGAGGAAGAAAAAAACAAAAAAACAAAAAAACAACACAACCATATATACATATATACACAATAAACACCTCCTGGACTTACCCAATGCCAGGAGTTAATTAGGGGGCACAGTTTTCCCAGGTCTACTTCGGCCTTGGGAAAAACTGCAACTACTCCCATCAACCTGAAACCTAGATTTTTAAACTAATACTAGCAACCTGATTTTTCTTAACATAACATGGGTCCTCTTACACTTCCCTAAACGCCTCCTTAACACATATGAGCTGTCCTCGGACCCTATACTAAACCATTCAAAAACCAAAAAACTCCATATTATCCTATAATACAACATTTTTTACTGCTGAATTACTATAGAGATTTTATTTTTTATTTTTATTTTTAACACATCATTTATAAAATACATACACCTATATAATATGCTTATTTCTTCTCATATATTCCTTACTATATTATTCCATGTATACCAATATGCAATAACTTAATCCCTTCACTTCCTTACTCTCCCCTTCACAATCACCATCAGTATATCACATTATATCCCACTTCCCCCCAACAAAAGAGGAAAAAAAAAAAAATAGATTAACCTAAATAAATGAAAATTTATGTCCTTTTAAGTTTGATTCTCTCTCGCATCAAACTATTCTCTGGGTAAAGTTGGTAATGGGGTCTTTTGTTGAAATAATGGTATTACTCCCTCTGGTGTATCCAGGCCCATTGTCTGAAAAAATCTACTTGGATCCCCCGTTGGTAATAAAGCTCTGGTTTGTTCATTATGAAAAGCGAGAAGTTTAAAGGGATGGCCCCATGCAAAGGGAATGTGATTAAGTCTCAGATGATCTGCAATCGGCTTCCATTGCCTTCTCTTTAAAAGAGTAGATGGTGAAAGATCTTGAAAAATCTGAAGCACCTTTTCTCTGTAAATAACCTCCATCCCCCTACATTTGCGCACTACAGCGTCTTTGGTGCTATGGTAATGAAATCTCACGATTATATCTCGGGGTCGTTCATCATTCCTTCGTAGACCACCTGACAAACGGTGCGCCCTGTCAATTTCCCATCTGGGTTCAGGAATGTCTGGTAGTAAGGGTCTAAAGATTTCTAAAACCAAATTCTGTACCGGACCCTCATCTCTTGTTTCCGGTATCCCTCTAATTTTAATATTATTACGTCGGGATCGATTTATAAGATCCTCAAATGCCACTTCTAAAGCGTCAAGCCTTGTGCCCCATTCCGAGCTCTGGATTAATAAATCATTATGTGCTTTTGCCACAGCCTCTACCCTCACTTCTAGGGCGGCAGTCCGATTACCAATTGCCTGGATCTCTAATCTTATTTCCTTAGCATTTCTCTCAATCTCTCCGGCAAAAAAAATTCTATCCTCTTTCATTTGTGCCAATATACATTGTATGCCGTCTAATCCTGATGTCCGCATAATAGGTATAGAAATGTTAGCTGTATCAATAGGTAACATTTTACCTGATCCTCCCTCTCCCAGGTCTGGATGGGTCTGGTCTAGATGGTCTGACTGGTCTGACTGGATCTCGTGGCTATCCCCATTTTTCCTGCCTTCCAGGCTGTTTGTTGTATCCTGGCAATTATTCACCATGTCAGTGCTATTCGCTGCTCCTGAAGCCGCTCGTTTTGTGGATTTTGCAGCGTCTTCATTTACATCCGCAGATTTCGCTGGCTGAAACATGGAGTGCATAGAATGTAGAGTGCTGCTCCTGGACTTCGGCTTAGATCCCTTCCGTAAAGATTTCATCAGTAGCAAACCCAGGAGGGGGTATAATACCCTTTTTTTTCCCCCTCTTTAAAAAAAAAAAAAAACCCAAAGCAAAAATTTTTTTTCAAAAATCCTCCTCCTTAGAGATCTGCTAAAACGCTGCCCTGTTACACTGTTACAACAATATATGCCAATATGTAACAGTATGTAACAATATGTAACAGTGTACCAATATGTAATATGCAATGTGCAATGCGTAGCTGTATAGCAGTACTTTATCTATAATTCACCCACAGAGTAGAGGAAGATTAGGGGAGAGATTGAGTAATTGAGGTGAGTAAAATAGAGAATATAAACTGATATAATATAGCAGGTAGAGCAGGTATATTACCAGCTACCCAGCTATCTAACAGTCTAGCCGGCTATCTGACCGGCTGTGCATGCAGCTGCTCCTCGTCGGACAGGTAATTGAAAACTTCACCGGCTCAAATTAATTTTAAGTGCTGAAGGGATCAAAAAAAAAAATAAGAGAGACAATATAGTATGCTGGATTTTCAATTTTTCTAAAAAAAAAAAAAAAACCTTCGATGTCCAGATCAGGTTGTTTTCAGAGGCTTCTGTGGCTTCAGTGAAGGGAGCTCTCTGCCTGAACGTCTACCTACAGTGATGGTCAGACGATTAAACGATCAAACGATCAGACCACACCCCCCATCACATTTGTCTTTACTTTTGACAGTTGAAATAAAACCTCTTCCTCTGTAAACTCACATGTAATAAATGGCTCATTTGTCCTTTTTTCTAACTGAGGTCCCTTTCCTTAATTTTCATCTGTAAAAACTGAACAAAAATATTAATTGAGGCAGTCAGCTATACTTTTATCCTCTTCTACATACCTTCCTTCTTTTGTTTTTAATCTAACTAATCCTTGTTTTACTTTCCTTTTCTCATTTATGTATCTAAAAAATGTCCCCTTTTTTACTGACTGTTCTATTTTCTCTTCTGTGTGTGATTTGGAAGCTCTTATAACTTGCTTAGCCTCTTTCTGCCTAATCTTATAGATCATTCTGTCTTCCTCACTCTGTTTTTTTTTATAATTACTAAATGCTAACTTTTTGTTTTTTACTATTTTGGCCTCATCTGTGGTGTACCATAGTGGTTTCTTGAATTTTTTGCTTTTACTGACAAGCCTAATGCAATTTTCTGTTGCCTTCAGCAGTGCAACTTTTAAATAATCCCATTTCTCTTGGACTCCATTTAATTGATCCAATAATGATAATGACTCCTTTACACATATTCTAATTTTAGAAAAGTCTGTTTTTTTAAAGTCTAAAACTTTTGTTTTTGTGTAGTGTGACTCAGTCACTGTTCTTATATTAAACCACACTGCCTGATAATCACTGGATCCTAAACTTTCACCTACAGTAATATCTGATACCAAATCTCCATTTGTTAACACTAATTTTAGTATGGCCTCCTTACGAGTTGGCTCCTCAATGACTTGTTTTAGAGACAATCCCAGTAGGGAGTTTAGAATATGTGTGCTCCTGGCACAAGTAGCTAATTTTTTTCTCCAATTCACATCAGGAAGATTAAAGTCACCCATGATGATAGCTTCTCCCTTCATTGTCATTTTAGCTATTTTCTCAACTAGATGATTATCTAACTCTTCTATTTGTCCTGAGGGCCTATAAATCGCACCTACACGAGTTACTGTGTGATAACTGTGACAAACTGCCATTTGTTACTGGGAGAGGACTGATTGCTAGCCTCCTGCCCTGCGACTATGGCCCTGGGATGTATTGCCCTTTAAGGAACTGAGTTGGGGCTTATGAACTTATATTATGCTGTTTCTGGCCCTTTAACTGTGCTGTACAGAGACATGGGATTATACGGTATATTGTTGATCCAGTGAAAGGATACCAAAACTGTATAGAAATTGAAAATGCTTACCTGCTTTGGTGGGGATTCTGTTTTAAAACAGTTCAAGTCTTTTAAAACATTCGCTTAATTGTGAGACCCACACGGTATGGATTCAGCATTCATCATACGAATGCAACCGAACCACCCTGCTACCTAATTAAGTGGTAATTTACCTCCCTGTTCGGCACATTCAGCTCTTATGGGAAACGCATGAACGCTTTGTTTCAATTCCTGGGTGGCCGCCATTTCGGGACTTTTACACATGTGCGCGGCTATCTTAAACTCCCAAACAGCGGTGTTTTGCCGTTGAGTGTCTGGAACTAAAATCGGACACTCGAGTAGGCAAACACCGCTGAGACCTCCATAGCACCGGTAATTCATGCCAAAACTACCGAACAACCGGCCGTTCGGTAGAAAGACTTAATAACATATGGGGATTCTAGCGAACGTCGAGTTACGCACGGATGGCAAGCCTTTTGTGACTTTTAATGCACGAACAAAGACCGACCACAAGGCCAAAATTCATGGAACTATTTTCGGCTACTTTGCCTTTGCGGTCGGTCAAAATTTTAAAGTCCCATATATCCCGAACGGCTGAACCGAATAGGCTGAATTTTGACTATGTTGGTCCCCCAGAATAGGATTTATGCCTGTACCCCAAGTATTTGGGGTACATCTGAACTTTGGGGAAAAATGTGTTTGTTTTAATTATGTTAGTAGCTTATCTGAGGGGAGGAGATGTGTGGGATGTACCTTATGTTTATTGGTTGTTCTGTTAATTATGTGGGTGTCTCCCTTGCATGGGCAGAATCACATAAAAAGAGAGTGCCTGTCATTAAAAGCTAGTTCTTTTTGATCCCTCTAAACGTAGCCTTGTCTCGTCATTGGAGGGAGCTGTAATAATCACATGGGGATTGCTATGCTCTGCATACTCCCCTGAGCTTGAATCACTTAGCTCTTTTAAGAGCTTGTTCCTGACACGCTCTCCTTGGAGGAGAGGTCTTCCCACACAGTCCTGGATGCTGAAGGTTCATACAGGGTGGAAGGAAGAGGTCTTTCCCACACGGTCCTGGAGGACAGAAGCTGATCCAGGGTGGAAGGAAGACGGCGAGACTCCAGCTAAGCTACGGCGGTTGTGGAGTCTGCGGTGGTTGTGGTATCTGCTGCACTGCTTGGAGTCCTCAGGAAGCGCTAGGAGCATCCGTCAACAGAAGGTGTCCGTTACAATAACCAAATTCTAACGTAACCCAAACGGACTCTATGTTCGCCTCACTAACTTTTATTGGGCTAGATTTTATGCTATCCTTCACATACAGGGCCACCCTTTCCTCCCCCCCCTTTCTTGCCTTCCCTGTCTTTTCTATATAAAGAGTACCCTGGTACTGCTATGTCCCAGTCATTTTTCTCATTATACCAGTAACAGCGACTAAATCTACATTATCAGTTGCCATTATTGCCACAAGTTCATGGATCTTATTCCCTAAACTGCGAGCATTTGTAGACATGACTCTAAGCTTATCCTTTTTAACACACTTGCTAAAGGCACTTTCTGTCCTTGTTTTGGGGGGCAATTGGATTGATGTTTTATCACCCTTTTGCCCCCTCTCCTAGTTTAAATACATCCTAGCAAAACCTCTGAACTGCTCACTGAGAACATTTGTTCCCTTTTGAGAAAGATGCAAACCATCTTTTTTGTACAGTTTATTTCCATTCCAAACAGAGCTACCATGAAAAATTAAGCCAAATCCTTGCTCCCAACACCATTCACCAAGACACAAGTTAAAGTCCCCAATACGCATCCGCCTGTCATTCTGAGTGTTATGCACAGGCAGAACTTCAGAGAATGACAGTGTGGAAGCAACCTGCTGTATATCATTTGCAAAAACACTAAAAACTTCCTTAATCTCTGAAACCTCATTGCAAGCCAAGTCATTTGTCCCTAGATGGACAAGTACATCCAATTCCCCTTCCTGCTTTGCTCGCTTAACAATATTACAAATACGTCTCCTGTCTCTCTGAGCAATAGCTCCGGAAAGACATCTCACAAGACCACCATTGTCCACTTCTTATGATGGAATCCCCCAACAACTGCTTTCTATTAGGCCTCACCATAGTCTCCAAGCCTGTCTCCACCACATCACTACCCTCAGTGCCAGAGCCTGTCTCCACAACACCACTACCCTCAGTGCCTGAGCCTGTCTCCACAACACCACTACCCTCAGTGCCTGAGCCTGTCTCCACAACACCACTAGCCTCAGTGCCTGTCTCCATAACACCACTATCCTCAGTACCCGAGCCTGTCTATATAACACCATTACACTCTGAAAGTGCAGAAAATGAATTATGTAGAGTAACAGACTGTGCAATATGCCTTCTATCCTCAACTCTAAGTCTACCAGTAATCCATCTGCCATTCCTAGGATGTCTCCGTGGCAGTGGCTTTGCAGCAGATCCAGAGTTTGTTTACCAGATAATTTACAAATCTCAGATTTCAAAAATACAATCTCCTGCCGCAATATAGAGAACTGTCTACAGATTAGACAGCATCCAAATCTCCAAAAAGTGGAACGTGAAACAAATGCATAACAACTATTACACTGAACTAAGTCTGCCATTTCAATGAGGTGAATAATTTAAATCAAACAAATTTTAAATTTGCAGTTCTCCTGAATACCACAGATTACCTCCAGTTTATCTCCAGAATATCTCCAACCTCACTTAGATGAAGCAAGTAGGCGGATGTGAGTGACCCAAGATAGTTGCCCAACAGTACTTCCGCTGGTTGATTGTCATAATTCCCACATGCACAGTGCCAGATCCGGTCCTCCAGTTCAGATTAACAGTGGGGAGCTGATAGATGGCCCCTCCGGCTTCTCGGACAACATCAGTCTTACCGGTGCGATCATTGTTGGGGACCAAATGTTGTTGTAGAAGGGTTAACGTGGCCTCAGTGTCTCGTAGGCCCTGGGCCAGTTGCCCGTTGACTTGGACCTCTTGGCGGTGGTGTTGCCTATTGTCTTGAGCAGCTGCTTGGATGGGATCAGCCGTATACAAGACACCTAGACTAGATACTCCTCAGACTCGGGTTCAGCTTCCAAACAGTGAGCAGTTGGGGTAGGTTAGGGCCTGGCTGGTTATCGCCCCCAGTTGGATCTGGGTGGTTCA